GGTGGATATCTGGGCTGGGGGCCAATGCATTCGCGAGGTGATGACACGCGTGCAGTTGGGAAAGGAGTTCGTCGACAAGGTGGGAAAAACGATAACAACACTTTGGCATCTGCTCTTGGTGTTCGGCCCCTCGATCGAGTCGCTCGGCTTTGCGCGATCGGCGCTGAGGGGCTCATCCCGAAGATGGGTGGCATGCTCGGTGCTTTCTACGAGCTGCTCGATCGAAAGTGCAGCCGGCAACGATTGGAAGAGACAGTGGCACTTATGTCCGAGGTGTCTTGAGAATCACAGTGGCGCCGCTCGTGGGATCTATTGCTTCGCAGCGGTCTTTCGCCGCTCGCGCGGCTCGCCGTTTAGGTCAAAGGCGCCAGAACAATTGTTCATCGGGTGCGACAACAGCCCATTCAACGTCTTCCTTCCGAAAGCTGGCCTCATCTAGGAAGGCGGGGGCAGCTTCAATTGCGCAGTCCATGGGGTTCCCAAGTGTTGCGCGCTAGAGATGGCAGGCGTTGCGTTGGCGCCGTGAGGAGCTGGGCGCTGGCATGGGCACTTTGATTGCATCGTGGGACCCGCAGCTATTGATCAATCGCAAAGACAAGGGGTTTGTGAAATATAACGGTGGCGTTGAGGTCCGAGAAGTGGAGCAAGTTGTTTGGCTCTGTGAAGTGGTTTTGCGCTTGGCTGCGCCACTTGCTGTCCTGGGGCCCAAGGTGCTCGTGCCATGTGCCAGATGGCGGCGAGGCTTCGCGCTGTCCATTCAAGTGGCGTCGGCTGCCAGAGGCTCGCCAGTGCGCGACGCATCCCCTTCGAGCTGGAGTCGCTGAGGTCAGCGGGTGGGGCGGGTCTGCGATGGGCCCTCCTGGCCGAGTTGCGAGCGGCGTCCAGGGCTGTGTTCGGATGGTCGAAGCATTAGCCAGGCGCAAGCTGAAGTACCTGGACAGGATTCCGCATCAGCTCGCTCAGTTGCATGGGCCAGGAATTCGAGATATACGCGTGGGGCAGTGGGGGCATGAGCCCGCGCGCCAGCGCCGTCGGGTGTCGAGGGGGGTCATGGTGCCTGGCAGCTTGTTGCGGACCCGAGTTGGTGTTCTGGGGGATGACGTTAGCGGGGTGCTTCCCGAGTTGGCCGCCGAAGTTTTCAGTTTGCGGCGGGTGCCCACTGGCGATTGCGCGTGCGAAAGGCCCCGCGCCATGGGCTCGCAGATAGCCAGGCGCGCCAACGCATCCGAGTGGCCCTGGATCGCCAGTTCAGTTCGGATCGACCAAAACCTCGAAGATGTGGATGAGTTGTCCATTGCGCGCGATATTGATGTCCGTCAAACGTGGAAGTCTTCTGCGTCGATCACCCGAACATCATTCGCTTCGCAGCCTTGTCGGCTGGGGCGGCCCGCTCGCATTCGCCCCGACTAGCTGCGCGCCGACGCATATTCGATGGCGCACTTCCTGCCCGAAGATGTCGGCGCCGCCGCTGAGGATCCTGGCGACGGCGGCGGCGGCGGCGGCCCGCCGTCGCCGCGTTTCGGGCCCGTCGCGCCGCGTGCCCTGCTGCCCCCTGGCGGGCCCTACGGGGGCGGAGGTGGCGGAGGAGGTGGGGGCGGAGGTGGGGGCGGTGCTGGGCTCGGAGGCTCATCTGGCCACGCCGAGGTTCAGGCGGGGCTGATTTGCCAGTGGCTGGCGGCGTCGTTACAACAGTTCAGTTTTGTCTTGCTGCCGGCCCGAGGCGAAGACGGGCTTGCAGAACCTCTTGCGCTGCAAATCTTGGCCCTCGAAAGCGAGGACACCCTCGCTGAGGCGTGCGAAGAGGGGGCGGCCCGATGGGGGGGGGGGGGGGGGCAAACGCGCCGACGGCAATGGGTTGAAGCTGCCCCCCCCCCCAGCCAGCATTCAGTGAACCGCCCCCCGCCGCCCCCCCCCACCGTCGGGGGCGGGGCCCTCGCCCTCGTCCCAGTCGTCTCATTCTCGGTGGGGCACAGGGGGGGCAGGGTTGGAGGTAGTTCTGGCTAACAACTAGCAGTGCGTAGCCAATCTTGTCTACGCAGTTTAGCACGCCAGTCGCCCCGGAAGCAACAGCGCGCACAGCGTTCCCCTTTTGGGCATCATCCTGCGCGCGCAAGAGCGGGCTAGGGCGCGCGTCGCCCTGGCGCTTTTTTACCGCCCAGCCTGCCTTGCGTTAGCGCAGCCCGAGCCCCTGGAGAGGCCTTCGACCCCCTTGGAATGGCTTCG